ACAGAACAACTAGAAAGGAGAATGGGCGAGCAGAGGTTGTGGGAATAATCAGCTCATGATAAGAACTCACTTTAGTTGGGACTCAGAAGATAACTGAAAACAGATTCTCATATCTGACTGAAAACACCCCTCTCTGGTGTATGATGTATGTAAGCAGACTTGTATATTGATAACACAGCTGTTTTCTAAGGATTAAAAAAAAAAACATAAAAGTTTAATGCGCTGCAGGCTGCTTCGCTGGTTACGCTTCCTGGCCATATGGGTATCTTTTCTATTGCTTAGAGCTCCTTTCATAGAGAGAGCATCTTTACGATCACTTTCCATGCTGCGCAGATTAGCCATTCACTTTGAAATGGCAGCGTCCTTCAGAAGAACATGGCTTTGCCAAGCAGCAGGCAGATTCACGCCTCCGTATGACCATGTGCCCAGGAAAAGGCTAGGACCAAACAGTGCACAGTTGCTGAAAGGCGTGGTCTGTGTGAGAAGAACCTCCTACTTCCAGAGAGGCACGCCTCTCCCGCCACCTTCCCAGGGCAGACGGCACCTGCAGGCCCGTCAGGTGCACGTGTGAACACGTGTTGCATTAGGGAAACACACTAGGGGGAGCATCAGGAAGCGAACGGTCCTCACTGAACACGGTTTGAAGATGGCGAGGCCTGTGACCCATCAACCACAGAGGCCGTACAACTGCCCTGTTCACAGCATGCGCTGACTTGAGGGCTAGCCTGGGCTCACAGGCATGCCTGGCTGCAAGAGCAGGAGCTGAGCCCTGGCGCCTACGTCGCAGGTCGCCTGTAGGCACCCTCTCTAAAATACCCCCTCCTGCCACCCTGCTTCTCTTCAGCCATCCCCCCTCTTCATACCACACACTACAACTACAATTACAGTAGCAACGTCAAGTTCGTTTCTCTAAGTCCAATCAGAATATGAGATTCACGTGAGACTTTCCCTCAGTCAACTATTTATCTTCAGTATTCTCAACAGGATGAGCAGTTGTTGAAGAAATGAAGGAGAGAACTGCCCAGTTCTCCAGCCCTTTTTTGCCTTTATCTCGTTAGTGTGCACCTACATTTCACCATCTCATCGGCGTCTCTTTAGCAACTCCACCCTCTTCATACATTTCACCACAAGAGGTCCATCTGTTTCCCCTCTGTATATACCTGTGCATGCACGTGCATGCACACACATGCACGCGCGCGCACACACACACACACACACACACACACACAGACCTTTTTTACTTTTCCTTTCCCTGCATTTATTCTCCTGCCATTTAAAACACAGAAAAATAAAAAGAAAGGAAATAACCAGGTAGTCCTAAAGTTCATCGCATCCTCCATAGAAAATGAACCTTGGGGGGCTGGAGAGATGGCTCAGTGGTTAAGAGCTCTGACTGCTCTTCCAGAGGTCCTGAGTTCAATTCCCAGCACCCACATGGTGGCTCACAACCATCTATACCTTTTACTGCTGTCTTCTGGCATGTAGGTGCACATACAGAGAGAACATTCAAAATAAACGAATACAATCTTGAAAGAAAGAAAGAAAGAAAGAAAGAAAGAAAGAAAGAAAGAAAGAAAGAAAGAAAGAAAGAAAGAAAGTGAACCTTGGAGCCTCCACCTTGCACACGCGTGCTGAGCCCAGGTCCTTGCACAGTACTAGCACTGTCCGCCTTCAGCTGCTGCGGCCAAACAGTGCCCTTCTGTGCTGGGCTCCGTCTGGAGTCTCTTCCTCTCCTTTCTTGCTAGCCACCTTTTAGATCTTTCCAATGACACATGGCTGAACATCTACTCACTGAAAAAGTCTCTCTAGAGAGATGGCTGATGGGTACAAAGATTCCCTAAAGTGGACTATGGTGATGCACATATGTTACGAATGTGCTAAATCATATTGTAAACGGCCAACAAACAAACTATTTCATGTGCCAATTCGACCTCAACAAGGCTGTTAAAATTCTCCCTTAGACCTGGGGAGGAAGGCTTTTCTTTTTTTTTTTTAATTAAATATGTATACTTATACTGCTCAGTAATAAAAAGATATATTCTTATTTCAAGGCTATCATGCAGCTAGCTAGCAGTCATAGGAAATCACAAGCCATGAGTACTTAGTGAGCATGAGCTCTAATACACAGGTGTAATATGAGCATAACTATGGGAGTTAAGTTGAAATCAATACAGTTAAGGCATTCTGATCATCACTTAGATTGTGACAAAAGAAGTAAAGAATCTTAATCTTTTAAAAATTATCTTTACAAAATAGTGGCCATGAAAAATAAGCATTAAATTTTATTTGGTGTGGTGATTCTTCAAAAACTTAAACATAAAACTACCCTGCAATCTAGAATAGTCTAAAGAAATGAAAGCAGTGGCGTGGATGGATACTTGCACACCAAAGCTCCCGGCTCTCACAACAGCCAAACTAAGAACGAGCAGACACGGTGCCATACACAGTGGGTAACATTTAGTCCTAAGAGGGCAGGGAATTCTTCAACATGCTGCAAGATGGGTGAAGCTTGAAGACACAGTGTTAAGTGAAATAAACCAACACAAAGGACAAGCATGAGTGTTCTTGTTCACAGGAGGAACCCAGAGCAGTAAGATCCACACAAGCAGAATGCACAATCCTGCTTTTCAGGTCTGAGGACAGGGTGGCCACTTTTTGTTTAGTGCAAAGGTCATTTTACTTTGGGACATGAAACTTCCCTGTACACAGACAGTGGCAATAACTACACAACATTATGGTTTTTCATCTTTTCTGCTCTGGAGATCGACACCAGGGCCCTGCACACAGCATCCACATGCTCTGCCCGGAGCAGGGCTCCCAGTTCTTTGTGAGTGTTAACAACGCTGAAATGCACTTAAAGGTGGCAACAATGAAAGCTCTACACACACACACACACACATACACACTTACTGCAATAACACTCTTCATCTAGAGTTATAATGTGTTTACTTTGTTACAATAAAAGTATGTAATTTAGGTCACACTTGCACTTCAATACCATATCTAATGTATACAGTTATGTACCCTATGTCTGAATACCGCATGCCCAGCTTACAGCATCCAACCTCACAAGTCAGTTGTCTCATTCTGTATCTTAAGTCCTGAAATCAGGGAGAAACACACAGTTACTACCAAAGGCATAGGGCATTCCTGTAGACGCTGCTGTCAACGAGGCACAGCAGTCACGTGTTCCTGTGTAAACATTCCAGTCCTCAGGCACATTAGCCACACTTCAAGAGGACATGCAGTCTGGGTCATGATGCTGTAATGGGACAAGTGTTTTCATTACTATGTTGCGTTATGACTAGAATACACTAAAAATATAAATAAATACAGAGATATAAGACAAAACATAGTAAACTTCTTTGGAAATTATTGGTATAGGGGAGGTATCAATTAAAAATGAAAACAGAGCGCCAATAACATGGAAACGGCCAATTGTCTACTATGACAGACACAGGTTAAAAGCCATCTCTGTGACATAAATTAAGCAGTAAGCTCTAACAACAAGATGGGCAGAGCTCACTTCAGACACCAGGAGATGATCCTCAAGAGGAGCATCTCACTTTACACGTTGATAGTAACCGCATGAATTTCAAAATTCAGTCTCCACAAGTTAGACACAACCGTGTAAATGACACAGTACGGTAAGGAAAACAGAAGGGTATAAATTAGTTCTGGAGTGTAAATGCAGACACGAGCTGATTATGCAGGGAAACTGATAATTATTACAAGGGAATACGAAGAAGGAAAACCGGGCTGAATGCTGTACGGTCACTGGCACATGGGAAACACTGTTCTAACAGGAGAACTCTGCTCACTTACGTGTGCACATGTGTGTGCGTGCTTACGAATACATGAGTGCACACATGTTCCTGCACGTGTGTGAATGTGTGTGAGCACATGTATGCTACATGGAGGCCACAGGAAAACTTGTGAGAGTTGGTTCTCTGCTCCCGCCATGTGGGTTCCGGGTTCAGAGTCGCGAGGCCTTGCCCTCTGGGCATACTGGCTAGCCTGACTTTTGCTCTGCTGTTCTAAGAATGGAAGTGTGCACTGTTCAGCAGAACCCCATGCACGCTGCTTCCACCCCAGTGCCACACAGCCCCATGACGCTCTGAGCCATCTGTCTACAGTTGCTCCTGATGAGGTGCTCTGCACAAGCGTTCACACACAGCTCGGGGCAACTCAGAGGCACAGCCCGTGCCTGCACGGAAGAAGGCCCGAGATCACTCTCCAGTGCCCGGGTCACTAACGTGGGAGACCGCAACCCTGGGAACTCATGGAGCCAGCTCTCCATCCAGTTTTTAAAATAGGAAAGAGAGAAGCTCACAGTTCCGGGCAGAAGCAACCCAATATGCAGTGGGCTTGTTTACCGGGCGTGTAAGTCAAGTGGTCATGCACACTTAAGAATGCGTCTGCTCTGAAATCACATCAGTGTTTGAGGTTGTACCTATGTGATGATACATCTTCTTTCACACGAGGCTAACACATTCAGAGGGCATATAATTAGATTAGAAACACTAAGAAAGCAAAATTTCCTTCAGATATTTGGGTGAATGTTGCATTTGCTAAGACTCTGCTCTTAGTGTTTTATCAGAAAATGCTTGGCAAGGACAAAGCCGTCCTCATCACTAGCTAACCCGGGATAAAGGTAGCAACTTCTAGACTTCAGCCTGACTAACTTCTCCCTGTGTACTCAGGATCTACACGGAGACACGTTTTATTGCATTTGACTTCTGCTCACAATCGTATAGTGAACAAATGACTCTTTTCCTAGTATTTCAAACTATGTGAGTATGTTCCAATTCCATGGAAATTAACAACCTGACCAGGCTCCCTCAGTGGGTCCACTCTGTAAAAGCTCTCGCTCTGCACCAGGTGAGGAAGCCTGCTGTGGTGTACTGTCCGAGCCAGCTTCTGCCTTGGTCACTTGAGCTGGAGGAGGACAGTGCTTTGCAGCTGCACTGGCCACGCCCTTCTTCTGCAGGAAGGCTTACCTCTCTCAGCACGGGGTCGGCGATCGAGCTCAGGCTGACTGCCCCTTCATAGGTGAGGTAGTAGAACACGTTGAGGGCTCGCACTGCCTCGGGTCCTTGTTGTTTGTAGCCAAAAATAAGGTCAATCCATTGGTGAAGCTGACAGGAGACAAACTCACTCTCCAGGGCCTGGAAAACAGCACACACACATTACTGTGCTGAATGCTATTTTAAAACAGCTCCTTAGGACAGCAGTAAAGCATAGCACGGAACTGACTTTAAAAATAAACAACAGACAAACCCAGAAAACTCAGGTGTGGTGGCACACATCTGTAATCCTGCTCAGGAAGCTGAGGCAGGAAGACAATAAGTTTTAGGCCAGGCTGGGCAACACAAGGAGAGTCTGAAGAACCAACCGACTAAAACCAAAGTAACGCAAATGAGTTTGGCTCGGTCAGCTGAGTGGTTGACTGAACGCAGGCCTGAGTACCTAGGAAAAGGGCAGGTGTGATGACACACTTCCATGAGCCAAGGGCAGAGACCAAGCGTCCAGGAGCTTGCTGGCCAGCCAGCCCTGCTGAGCCTGCGAACTTCGGATTCTGTGAGAGACACTGATATTGCTCTCACCTCCACATGCATACGCACAGGCACAGGTACATGCACAGACACACACACACACACATACACACTCATCACACACATAGCCCCAACCACACACACATTCACACACCACACACAGGTACATACAAACCTACACACACATGCCACACAATACACACACAAACATACACACCACACACAAAAACACACATACCACACACACACACAAACACACAAATACACACACACACACACACACACACACACACACACACACCACACGCATGACAGATGGAAGGGAAGGAAGAAAGGGAAGAGGGAGAGGAAGTGGAAAGTGAAGGGGAAAGGACGGGTGGAAAAGGACAGGAAGAGCAAAGGAACGGAGGCTGGCATGTGGCTCAGGGTAGCCCTTTGTCCCTGTGGGCCAGGGCTTCAGTTCCCAGCACTGCAAAAGGCAAACAACCACCCTGCCATGCGGCCCTGAAGCTGAGCCTGTCCGATGTGCGCATGTGTACGGCCAGGCCCACCGTGCGAGGTGGGTAGCCACCCCAGCTTCTCCCACCACACTGAGCCCCGTGAGGACCCGAGCCGGCCGTATCTGGGTCTACTGTAGCTCAAGCTCCACAGGCGCCCAATCCGTGCTTCGGAGAAAGGGAGCCACACAGTGAAGGGCTGATGTGGAAACACTGAACATTTTCTATTGACTTGGGATTTTTACATTGTTCTCCAAATGTTGTTTCCTGCCACTGCAACCAAACTGCTAGTTATTTTGTTGTGTTGACAGTAAGTTAGACTGTGTGCACACTCACAACTGCTGGATTTTCATTCTCCGTGTGAGCACCACACCAACACTTTACGCTATTAACAGTGCTCAACAAAGTGAGTGAACACGACCAAATATTCACTCGGAGCTGGCCACGAGGTGCCCTTCCTACTCACCCTTCTATGCCCACTTACTAGTGCTGTGTGCCAAATACACTTGGTGCCAATAAATGTTTGCTGAACTAAGCCAAGTTGGGGATGCCAAGGCCAGGGACTTTCAGGAAGCTGTCCCTCTGTATACTGTGCGATACTACAAAATTATTCCCACATGAGAGGTTTAGGTTTTCTAACAAACAATGGCGTGCAGACCAAGAACTGTCAAAGTTAGCTTTCAGGCCTGACTCTGGCAGCAGACCTCAGTGAAAGCAGGGTTAGCATGGGAACTGCATGGTCATGCCACACTTTTCTGGCAGTGAGCAACTGCTCTTCAGAGTCTGTAAGTTTGAAGGTACAGTTGGCTAGACCTTCTCTTCTCCAGTCTTCTGCTGGAGACTGACGCCAGGGTCCCGCCCAGGCCCCGTTCCTGGCCTTGCTGATCCTTAGCCCCAAATGGCATAACTTCTAGAGTAAGCATCCAATGAGATACAACCATCCTGCCACCAATGACAGACACACAGGCACACATGTAAAAATGTGTTATTAAAACTAATGCCTGTGAATAAGAGAGATGTTTACAGCTAAATACGATCTTTCCTTTAAAAACATTTTACCTGGGTTTGCAATGTTATCAAATATAAAATATTATTCTTTAAACAAAACCGTATGCACTAACCAGGCAATTCTTACATTCGAAGGTATACCTGAAATGAACGTAGGCCTAAAAATATCTGGCTACTTTCCCTGTGAAAGCTACTGTTTTAGACATCTATTATAAAATTCACCATATTTCCACTTTCCTGGAGATAGTAAGGAAGCATGAACTGCTTCACATTACACTTGATATAATAACAGCATTTTTAATGATCAATTACATCCCCACTTTAATTACATAAATTTAAAATGAGTCTAAAAAATTCAAACTACCAGCACAAGTTGCATTAACCTTGGCCTTGGGAGGAATGGGAGGAGCCATGTTTAAAGTGACACATAAAAACACCAATTGTCTTAATTTGTGTGCAGTGCACTCCACACAAAAGCCCTAAATATGTTCAAATTAGAGCGAGCTGCTTGATTGTCACTGCAGCCTCATGTCACATTAACGTATGACAAACAGTAAACCATACACTTAAATGGCAATTTATATCATTTAAACGTTTATGGCCAGACCAGCTCATCACTCATGTAAATGTGACTTTCTGACAGCTAATTTCAGCTAATTTTCTCCAATTCACTTAATTAGAACTTTCAATCAGGAAAAGCCTTCCATGTATCTTCAGGAGTGCATCCTTTTTGGCTGCTGAAGACTGTGAGCTGATAAGCTGCTGGAAAGCCCTGCTGTAACAGTACATGGGACCCGCAAGTTGACAAGAGAGCATCGCAGCACAAAGCAGCTCACAGCATGCACTCTGCAAAAGAACACGCTTATTTATGTGAACGATACTCGCGCCCGTGGTTCAAATAAAAACACTTAGTTCATATATGCCCAGTATTGAAACAATAAAAAACCTGCATCCAAGCTAATTAAAAATTAATGATTTCAAAATTGTTTAATAAGATGAAACAGCCAGGAGCCTCCTGAGTGTCCATGCATTGTCGTTTGAGGCTATAAACTTGCAGAAGGCTCAGAAAATGAAGAAGTACAAATGGTTTTCTCAATATGAAAGCTCGGCAGAGCAGGGCAATTTTGTTTATGTGTCCTCAAACAGGAGCTGCGGGCTGCTGAAGCCTGATCACTTCTTTATGCACACTGCACATGGTGAGGTCGGCTTGATTTAAGCTTTATATCTTGATGCTGCTTCGGAATTTTAAACAAAAACCTTGGAAGAAACAGCACTGTGTGCCCTGATGCTGTAGACACAGTGCAGGGTTGCGCCAAGGTGCTGGCCAGCCCTCCCTCAAGGTGCAGGCCAGCCCTCCCTCAAGGTGCAG